GGATTGCCTGAGCCTGCGGGTTCGAGACCAGCCCAGGCAACTTGGCAAGACTTCGTCTCTATAATCAAACAAAAAATTAGCCAGGCGTGGTGGCGCACACCTAGTTCCACCTACTTCGAAGGCTAAGGCGGAAGGATTGCTGGAGCCCAGCAGGTCGACACTGTGGTGGCCGTGAGCATGCCATTGCACTCCCGCCTGGCAATGGAGTGAGACTCCAACTAAAAAAAAAAAAAAATATGGTGAATTTAATTTAGAATGTAATAAGTTTGAGGTTCTGGTGAGATATATAATTTAGTGGATACAGTCATCCCTTAGTATCCAGGGGGAGTTGGTTCCAGCCCCCCCAATATACCAAAATCCAAAGATGCTCAAATCCATTATATAAAATGGTGTAGGTTCAGGCATGGTGGCTCACGCCTGTAATCTCAGCACTTTAGAAGGCAAAGGTGAGAGGATTTCCTGAGCCCAGCAGTTCGAGACCAGATTTAGCAACTTAGCAAGACCTTGTCTCTACACTAAATCAAAAAAATTAGCTTGCCGTGGTGACACATGCCTGTGGTTCCAGTTACTTGGAAGGCTGAGCTGAAGGATCACCTGAGCCCAGCAGGTTGAGGCTGCGGTGGCCGTGAGCATGCCACTGCACTCCAGTCTGGGTGACAGAGTGAGACTTCAACTGTAAAACAAAATATAAAAACCAAAAAAAATGGTGTGGGATAAACTATGCACATCCTCCTGTATACTTTAAATCATCTCTAGATTACTTATACCTAATACAGTGTAGATGCTATGCAAATAATTGCTTTACTATAACTTTAAAATTTGTATTGCTTTTTATTGTATTATTTTTGTTTTTAAAATATTTTCTGTCTGTGGTTGGTTGAATTCATATTTGTGGAGCCCACAGAGAGCTGACTGTGTTTGAATGCATAAATCTGAAGCTTGAGGCAGTGTCCTGGGCTAGGGAAGGAGAGAAACTTAAACCAGCTTTAAGATGGATGGTTAACTTTGAGAGTGGATGAGATTGCATAGGAAGACAAGTAGAGTGAGAAGATAGTTGGCTGGGAACAGCCATGTTTCAAAAGTGGTCAGCTGAAGAGAAGCGCATAAGGAGAAGGTATGAATTAAGAGTCAGGGGAGAAACCGCCGGGGGCAAGTGGCATCATAGAAGCCAAGGGAGGAATGAGTTTCATGTTCTTTCTGTTCCACCCTGTGACCCACGGTACCCATTTCCCAGATGGTTGGTAGAGATTAAGACTTGACTGCGGAACATAAAAAAGCCAGCTGGGCTGGGCTCGGTGGCTCCCCCTGTAATCCCAGCTCTTTGGGAGGCTCAGGTGAGTGGATTAACTGAGCGTGCAGATTTGAGACCAGCCCGGGCAACTTGGCAAGACCTCGTCTCTACAATAAAGATAAAAAAATTTAGTCAGGCATGGTAGCATGTGCCTATAGTCCTGGCTACTTGGAAAGCTGAGGCGGAAGGATTGTCGGAGCCCAGAGGGTCGACACTGGGGTGACTATGAGTTGCACTCCTGCTTGGGCAACAAAGTGAGACTCCAACTCAAAAAAAAAAAAAGCCAACTGGCCAGTAGAGAACCAGACCTTGCTCCTGATCTTCTCTTATACTGTTCTCATCAACAGAGCTATTAGCCATTCAGCAGAGTCATTGTGAGGATGAAATGAAGGAGAGTTAACAAAAGTACTTTGGGATGCATTAAACAAACATAAGACATTATGACTGGTGTCTTTATCTCTAAGATTGACTGTTTCCTAGCCTCAAAGCCCAAGCAAGAAATGGGAAAGGCTGAGCCATGTTCAGTCCCTGCCCTGGATGTGGGATGGTCCTGCCCCCCTGCTCAGAATGTCTCTGTGATCTTTGTCCCCTCCAGGGCCATGCCACCTCATTTTTTGGTCCAGCCTTGGAGCGCTACTCATCCTTCCAGGTCAATGGCAGTGATGACATTCGGCAGATTCAGAGTCTGGAGAATGGCATCCTTTTTCTCACCAAGAACAACCTCAAGTATATGGCCCGTGGAGGCCTGATTATATTTGATTACCTGTAAGTGGCTTCTCAGCTCTGGACTGGGAAAGAGAGTGCCTGCTAGGGAGGGAAGGCTAGGGTTCTGGCAGCTCATGAGACCCCGGCCCCTCAGCCTTTCCTGACCCCAACAGGCTGGATGAGAGTGAGGATATGCACAGTCTTCTCCTGACTGATAGCAGCACGCTACTCGTTGGCGGACTGCAGAGCCACATATTGGAGGTCGATCTTAACACTGTCCAGGAGACTCAGAAGGTACCAGCCTGGGGCAGGAAAGGTCCATGAGGATCTAAGGTTATTGAAGGGGGCAGGGTGTACTTGGGCTGGTAACTTGGGTGTGACCTTTCTGTTCCTTTGGTCTGTGGGAAAAATCATTCCTCTCACTGGTTTTTCCTGCTTCCCTCTCCAGTATGCAGTTGAGACACCTGGAGTCACCATCATGAGACAGACAAATCGCTTCTTCTTCTGTGGCCACACATCTGGCAAGGTGGCCAAGTTCCATGTCTCCTCCCACCACAGGGCCCTGTTTCACTGGATGTGTGATTGGGCTCTGCTTTCTCTCAGCTCTTGGGGTGTAGTTGAATTGGAGATGAGGGATGAGAGGTGTGAATTCACATCTTACTCAGCCATGTTATACTGTGAGATTATCTTGCAGCCTGATGTTTTCTATCATAACGAGGCACCTTGGAGGCAAAAGGGTAAACAAGCATCCTCTCTGGGTCCCTTCCAGCCCTTGGCTTCTGTTTGCCTTTTCTGCTGTGTTGTGTCCTAGGGCCTTAGTTCCTTTGGTAGGGCTCTCACAAGGCTAGGTAGGTGGCAGGTACTCTTCTTCATAAGAGTATTTGCAGATAGCTGAGTTATGTCTCCTGTAGGTTTCCCTGCGAGACCTCCGTACTTTTAAGGTGGAGCATGAGTTTGACGCCTACTCAGGGAGTCTGTCAGATTTCGACGTGCATGGCAACCTGCTGGCCACCTGTGGCTTCTCTAGCCGCCTCACTGGCCTGGCCTGCGACCGTTTCCTCAAGGTGTATGATTTGCGCATGATGCGTGCTATCACTCCGCTTCAAGTTCACGTGGATCCTGCCTTCTTGCGCTTCATTCCTACATATACTTCTCGTCTTGCCATCATCTCTCAGTCAGGTATGAGGGGCCCATAGGACTGGGAAGGAGGGATCAGTGAGCAAGCAGAACTGGGCACCAGAAGGGAGTACTCCTCCAGGGACCTCTTTGTTGGGGGTCCCGGGGTTTTATGTGGGTTTGATCAGAGATGAGAGCTTTTGTTTTCTCCTTGGGTGTGAGGAGCATGGAAGAAGATAAAGAAGGAGTAGGCAAAATAACTCTAGAGTTGATTTTGCGGGTAGTAGATCATCCTGTGGTTTATGGGAAGGCATCAGATGACAGTCTCTCTATCTCTAGGCATGGATTTGGGGCCCATCCTGCCTTGATATCAGGTGAAGAGGGTAGGAAGGGAACAAAGGAACGGCTCCCCTTCATTTTCCAGGGCTCAGTGGGTTTCTTTCTCCTTCCTAGGGCAGTGCCAGTTCTGTGAGCCCACAGGCCTGGCCAACCCAGCAGATATCTTTCATGTGAACCCTGTGGGGCCTCTGCTAATGACATTTGATGTATCAGCCAGCAAGCAGGCCCTGGCCTTTGGGGATTCTGAGGGCTGCGTGCACCTCTGGACTGATTCCCCTGAGCCTTCCTTCAACCCCTATTCCCGTGAGACTGAGTTTGCTTTGCCTTGTCTTGTGGACTCACTGCCTCCTCTGGACTGGAGCCAGGACCTGCTGCCTCTGTCCCTCATCCCTGTCCCGCTCACCACTGACACGCTCCTCTCTGATTGGCCTGCTGCCAACTCCGCTCCAGCTCCCAGGTTGTACCTTACCTCTGGGCCGAAAGGAGGGAGGGGGAAAGGGCTAAGATACCAGAATTCTCTGCTAGCCCTATTATTATTCTACTGCTTTCCTGATTTTTGTCTGCCTTTGGTGTTTTCTTTCTTCTGGACCCTCGGGGGTTGGGGAGTGGATGGGTGGATACCACAACCCTTCAAGCCCTAGAAATATACTGGATTCTAGGCGAGCACCCCCTGTGGATGCAGAGATTCTGCGCACTATGAAGAAGGTGGGCTTCATTGGCTACGCACCCAACCCCCGCACCAGGCTGCGCAATCAGGTGTGTTCAGAGTGGAGAGGGTCAGCCCTTACCCCAGCCCACTGGCATTTCTCCTTCTTCCTTTACTAGTCCTTTGTTTTTAGACAGCTGGTAAGGGCTTTTGGGGACCTTCTGGATTGAAGGAACTATGCTAGATGTGAGAGAGGATTCAAAGATATATAAGCTCCAGCCCGGGCAATTTGGCAAGACCTCGTCTCTACAATAAATAAATTAAAAAATTAGCTGGGCACGATAGCGCATGCCTGTAGTTCCAGCTACTTAGAGGGCTGAGGTGGAAGGATCACTGGTGCCCAGCAGGTTGAGGCTGCAGTGGCCGTGAGCGTGCCACTACACTCCAGCCTGGGTGAGAGAGTGAGACTCCTACTCAAAAAAAAAAAAGATATACAAGCTAAGGTCCTTGCTCTTAGGAAATTAAGTATTTGGTTGATGAATATAAAACATAGCCATATCAGAAATCATTTACATCCTGTGGTTAAATGCTAAAGGAATATCAAAAGCATTCACTGCCAGAGCTGTTTAGAGGGAAAATGTTTGTCTAAGGTAGAGTGGTCAGGAAAGGAGTAATGAAAGATAAGCATATGGAGCTGGAAAAACAAGTAGGTAAGTAGATAGTAAGAGAAGAGATATTCCAGATGAGAGAAAAGTGTTAATAACAGTCTCAAGAGACATGAATGCAAAAGACAGGCAGCTGGGTGTAGTGACTCATGCTGGTGATCCCAGCATTTCAAAGTCCGAGGCAGGAGGATCACTTGAGTCCTTGAACCCAGGAATTCGAGACCAGTCTGGGCAACACAGCAAAACCCCATCTCTACAAAATTTTTTAAAAATAAAAAATTAGGGTACCTGCATAATCAACATTTGTATAGCTAACCCTGAATTGTAACCTGCATCTTTATAATTAAAAATAAATAAGTAAAAAAAATAAAAAATAAGCCCAGCGTGGTGGCACACATCTGCAGTCCTGGCTACTCGGGAGGCTGAGGCAGGAGCATCACTTGGTCAAGGTTACAGTGAGCTATGATTGCCACACTGCAATCCAGCTTGGGCAACAGAGTGAGTTGCTGTCTCAAAAAAAAAAAAAAAAAATTGTAAGAAGCCATGTCTGGGGCTGGGGGGACTTTGAGTATACCAGTCCTGGTGAAGCAACTGCTGATATTAGGCAGTAGTGAGAGATTAAAGCCTTGAACACGGCAGTGTAGTGGAAGAAGTAATGCACAGAAAGCAGTATTTGGGGGGAGTTAGTTTGGTAGTGGTATGCTGGACAGAGCGAATTCAGGGAGTCCAGCATGGACACCATCACGGGTGTCCTCCTGTGGTTCAGTTGAGGGATGGTGGAGGAAGTAAAAAGAAGGCAGTGGATGCTGAGAATGCTGTGAAAATAGGAGGTTCAGGATTTGGCGGCTGTTTTGGTGTTAGGATAAAGGTAGGGATGAATGGGCATCCAACAAGGTTACTTCTTTTTTAAATCCCTAGATTCCTTACCGACTCAAGGAGTCAGACAGTGAATTTGACAGCTTCAGCCAGGTCACTGAGTCACCGGTAGGGCGGGAAGAGGAGCCACATCTCCACATGGTTTCTAAGAAATACCGCAAGGTGCTGGGGACACCAAAGCAGGGGCCCTGTGGGATGTGGGGAAAGGTATCCTGAGAAGGGGGTCATATGGGAAAGGATCGAAAGATCCGTACCACCAGGTTCTGGGGAAGGCTTTAGCTCCTGGGAGGATCTGGGGACTCGCAGGATATCCCTGTCTTGCTCAGACTGTTTCTACTTCAGGTGACCATCAAATATTCCAAACTAGGGCTAGAGGACTTTGACTTCAAACATTACAATAAGACCCTGTTTGCCGGATTAGAGCCCCACATCCCCAATGCCTACTGTAACTGCATGATCCAGGTAAGGAATAGGGCTTCCCAAGACTTGAATATGCCCGCTGCCTTTCTTCCTCCTTGTGGCCCCTGCTCTTTCCAGATCCCCTCGACCAGGCCCACTTCACCATGGTCTTCTCTGCCATTTGTTCTTGTACCCACAACCGTCAAGTCTCCACAGTGAGCTCCACGGCTTCGGTGGACTACTACTGCTTTGTATTTCTCATCAGCTCACTTGACCCCCACGTCACTCCTCTTCCCCCTCCCAGTTTCCTGCACCAGTTCTCCTGCTTGTCCCTCCAGGTGCTCTATTTCCTGGAGCCTGTTCGGTGTTTAATCCAGAACCACCTTTGCCAGAAGGAATTCTGCCTGGCATGTGAGCTGGGCTTCCTCTTCCACATGTTGGACCTCTCTCGTGGTGACCCTTGCCAGGTCAGTGCCTGGAGACCTGGGACACTTAAAATGGAAGGTAGGCTGGGCACGGTGGCTCACACCTATAATCCCAGCACTTTGGGAGGCTGAGATGAGAGGATTGCTTGAGCCTATTGGTTTGAGACCAGCTTGGGCAACTTGGTGAGACATCTTTACAATAAATTAAAAAATTAGCCAGGGATAGTGGCGCACACCTGTAGTCCCAGCTACTTGAAAGGCTGAGGTGAAAGGATCGCCTGAGCCCAGCAGGTCGAGGCTGCGGTGGCCATGAGCGTGCCACTGCACTCCAGCCTGGATGACAGAGTGAGACTCCCACTCAGAAAAAAAAAAGGAAGGGTAAGGGAGGTAGTCCGTAGGCAGGGACAAGCTATACAGATGAACACAAAATAGAAAATAGCAACCCCTTTCCATCAACACACTTCCAGGGCAATAATTTTCTTCGGGCATTCCGTACCATCCCCGAGGCCTCAGCTCTTGGTCTGATCCTGGCTGACTCAGATGAGGCTTCAGGCAAGGGCAATCTGGCCAGGCTCATTCAGAGGTGGAATCGCTTCATTCTCACCCAGCTGCATCAGGATATGCAGGAACTGGAAGTGCCACAGGCTTATCGAGGTGCTGGAGGCAGGTATGAAATCGGGATAGGAATCGTTAAAATTACCGTGACAGGCCCCTCTGTGACTTAAAGGGTCTCCTAACTCCCTCCATGCTCATGTATCCCCCCTCCACTCTTAGCAGCTTTTGTTCATCAGGGGACTCTGTCATCGGGCAGCTGTTCAGCTGTGAGATGGAGAACTGCAGCCTATGCCGCTGTGGCAGTGAGACTGTGCGTGCCTCATCCACCCTGCTCTTCACGCTCTCCTACCCTGATGGTAGCCACAGTGGTGTACCCTGCAGCGGGGTTGGGAAGCCTCCCCTGAATGTCCTGTAACATCAGGGAGTGGGCGTTGAGGGGCTAACTGTGGGTAGAGGGAGAACCAGGAGTGAAGCCTCTAATTTCCCCTCAGATAAAACTGGGAAGAACTATGACTTTGCTCAGGTGCTGAAGCGAAGCATCTGCCTGGAGCAGAATACACAAGCCTGGTGTGACAACTGTGAAAAGTACCAGCCCACGGTGAGTGGCTGTTGCACTGGACTAGGGTCCTGCCATGTTGGGGACTTAGCCACTGTCTCCTCTGGGGCTGGCTGTGTCAGCACTGCCATTCAGGGATCTATGGGATGGGCGGACCCCCATCCCATAGATACAGACCCATGTTCTTGTCCAGGATTCTTTCCCTGGACACTCCCTGCCATTCCTTGTTTGTTCTGTCCTCTCAGATTCAGACTCGCAACATCCGCCATCTGCCGGATATTCTTGTCATCAATTGTGAGGTGAATAGCTCAAAAGAGGCTGATTTCTGGAGGATGCAAGCTGAGGTAAGGACCAGGCTAGAAACAGGGCTTTGGGAGTACTTGTTAGTTTTCTGCCCCTTCTGGACTCTGTGTATGATTATGTTCCTGAGAAATCAGATATTTTTTCTTTGCGTTCAGGTTGCCTTCAAGATGACAGTAAAGAAGCATGGTGGGGAAATTGCCAAGAGCAAGGAATTTGCTTTGGCTGATTGGTAGGTGCTGTCTTGGCAGTTGTCAAAAAATTGAACTACCTCGTGGCTCCTCTTGTCACTAGCTAGATCTCTTCGAAACAAATTTCCAATTCTTCTGACCTCATAGGAAGGAGCTAGGGAGTCCAGAGGGTTTGCTGCTGTGTCCTTCCGTTGAGGAGTTGAAGAACGTCTGGCTTCCGTTTTCCATTCGCATGAAGATGACCAAGAACAAAGGATTGGATGTTTGCAATTGGACTGATGGGGATGAGTTGCAGGTTGTTGAAAATCTGGGAAGAGGAATGGGAATAAGGGCGAGAAGTTTGGGCAGAAGGTGAAGCAGGGCAGGGGGAAGGTGGACCTTGGCAGAGAGAGAAGGAAGGGAATCCAGCCTAATAGTTACCAGTGTGGGATTTTCCAGATGACTCAATTCAGTGGTGGGAGTCATAGATGAGCTAGGATGAAGGTAACCCACCCTGTACCCCCAACTCCCTGGCCCCGTCCCTGTTCCCCTTCCTTCCCCACCCTTAAACTTAGCTTAGCAGCCTGGGTACCCCCCTCACAGTGGGGCCCAGCCAGGGCAGAGGAGGAGCATGGTGTCTATGTGTATGACCTGATGGCTACTGTGGTACACATCCTGGACTCACGCACAGGGGGCAGCCTGGTGGCTCACATCAAAGTTGGAGAGACCTACCACCAGCGCAAGGAGGTGAGTGAGGTGGTACAGGGCAGGGACATTCCTAGGATGGCCACAGTGGCGTCCCAGGTTTGTTCTTGAGTCTGAGACAGAAGTGTTCAGCTGTCAGTTTGCAACTCCACTGTCTCTCTCTGTATCCTCACAGGGTGTTACTCACCAGCAGTGGTATCTATTTAACGACTTTCTTATTGAACCTATTGATAAGGTTAGTTGCAACATGTTTGCTTCCCCCTTTCGTGTTCCCTTTTGTTAGCATTCTCATCCTTGGGGCCCTAAAGAATGCCAGGCAGATTCGAGGGGGAAGGAAGGGTTTCTCAGGATAAAAAACATTAGCTGAGTTAAAAATAGTACCTGAGTCCTGGTCTCTGCCTGACTTGGGGAAAAGGAAAAAGGGGCATGTATGTGGGCCAAGAGTGCTTTTTCTCTTCTGTAGCATGAAGCGGTGCAGTTTGACATGAATTGGAAAGTACCTGCTATCCTTTACTATGTCAAAAGGAATCTCAATTCCAGATACAACCTGAACAGTGAGTGGCACATAGTAGACCCAAGGGTGTGGGTAGTTGATATTGGGCTTCAGGATGACATCTGGGACCTCACTTGTCAATATTTGGGATTGGTAACCAGTGTTAATATTCCTGGGAGTACTGAAGAGATTCTTGCTTACCAGACCTTGAACTTAGAAGCTGGAAATCCTCAGAGTGGAGTGGGAAAGGGGTGAGGGAGGAAGTTTGATCAAAATGGTATGGTGACATGCACCTGTAGTCTCAACTACTTGAGAGGGTGAAGTAGAAGTACTGCTTAAGCCCAGGAGTTGGAAACTGTAGTGAGCTTTGATTATGCCACTGAAATCCAGCCTGGGCAACAGAGCAAGACCTTGTTTTTTTATTTTTATTTTTTATTTTTGAGTCGGAGTTTCACTCTGTTGCCCAGGCTGGAGTGCAGTAGCATGCTCATGGTCACTGCAGCCTTGACCACTGGGCTCAGGAGATCCTTCTGCCTCGGCCTCCCAAGTAGCTGGAACCACAGGTGCATAACGCCACACCCAGCTAATTTTTTTTTAATTCATTGTAGAGATGAGGTCTTACCAAGTTACCCAGGTCTCGTCAAGTTGCCCAGGCTGGTCTCAAAACCATGGGCTCAGGCAATCCTCTTGCCTCTGCCTCCCAAAATGCTGGGATTATAGGCATGAACTACCCCACCTGGTGAGGACCTTGCTTCTTTAAAAAAAAAAAAAACCAAAAAATAAAAATGGCTTAGTTATGATTTTGAGTCTAACCATTCTCATCCCCAAAGTGAAGATCTCTTCTTTTGGAGATGAGCTCCTTACTGAGTCCTTGTTTGGTAACTTTATTTATTTATTTTTGGAGATGAGGTCTCGCTATGTTCCCCAGGCTTGGCTTCAACTTCTGGGCTTAAGCAATCCTCCTACTTCAACCTTCCAAAGTGCTGAGATTATAGGGATGAACCACCACACCCAGCCTCTGTTTGGTACCTTTAAACCATAGTTTTTCTGTAACCTTATTTTTCTGGATTTTCTAAACTAAGATCTAAAGTGAAAATCTTATTATTTCTTCTCTATGGTCTTCCTAGCTTTTTCTTAGCATATTTATTGATAATTTTCTGATTTGACCTGCTCTGTCTACCTGTCCCATTCATCAGATGTGATCTTTTTACTCACATGCTTTGATTATTGAGGGTAGATCCAGAGTCTCAATTAGCTACCCTGGGCTTGAACCCTGGTCACTTCCCTATCCCAGTGCTTTGTGATCTGCATTCTCCCTTCCAGTCAAGAACCCTATTGAGGCAAGTGTCCTGCTGGCTGAAGCGTCACTGGCACGGAAGCAGCGGAAAACACATACTACCTTTATTCCACTGATGCTGAATGAGATGCCACAGGTTGGGGACCTAGTGGGTCTGGATGCTGAGTTTGTCACCCTTAATGAGGTAACCAAGACCAAAAGGATGGGACATTGGGATAGAATCTTGCAGATATTAGGAGCTATAAGCATGTCTCTGATTTCCTTATTAACTCTTCTCATGTAGGAAGAAGCAGAGTTACGCAGTGATGGTACCAAGTCCACTATTAAACCAAGCCAGATGTCAGTAGCAAGGATTACCTGTGTTAGGGGCCAGGGACCCAATGAGGGTATCCCCTTCATTGATGACTACATCTCCACCCAAGAGCAGGTACTAGGATATGGAGGTGCAAGTGAGGCAGACCCTGTGCTTATGTAGAGTGCTCAAGAATCCAGAGGAGAATAATGGGAGGAGACTCTGCACCTTACTTCTGAGTGGCTTGTCTTCTTCTCTAATCCTAGGTGGTGGATTACTTGACTCAGTACTCTGGGATAAAGCCTGGAGACCTGGATGCCAAAATTTCCTCTAAGCACCTCACAACTCTCAAGTCTACTTACTTAAAACTTCGTTTTCTCATTGACATTGGAGTCAAGTTTGTGGGTCATGGCCTGCAGAAGGACTTCCGGGTCATCAACCTCATGGTTTGGACAGGGCTCATTGAAGAGTTTTCTTTTGAGGGTGGGATGCTCAGGGTATACATCGTGCTTTTGGAGAATGATAACTTATAGATCCTTTACCTTCAGTCTGCCACTCTTTTATCCTTGCCAGGTGCCCAAGGACCAAGTCCTTGACACTGTCTACCTGTTCCACATGCCCCGAAAACGAATGATTTCCCTGCGATTCCTTGCTTGGTACTTCCTAGGTGAGTTGCTCTGCCTTGTAGGTCCCCACGATGTACATTAAGAGCAGGGAAAGTGTTGAAGGACTAAGTGGGAGAAGGGAAGATTCTGAGTTAGTGGTGAGAGTCACTAACGGATTTTATTTATTTATTTATTTTTATTTTTTTGAGTTAGAGTCTTACTCTGTCGCAGTGCAGTGCAGTGCAATGGCACACTCACAGCCATCGCAGCCTCAACTTGCTGGGCTCAGACAGTCGTTCCGCCTCAGCCTTCCAAGTAGCTGGAACCACAGGCATACGCCACCATGCCCAGCTAATTTTTTTATTTATTGTAAAGACGAGGTCTTGCCATGTTGCCCAGGCTGGTCTCAAACCCGTGGTTTCAGGCAGTCCTCTCACCTCAGCCTCCCAAAGTGCTGGGACTACGGGCGCAAGCCACTGTGCCGTGCTCTACTAATGGATTTAATTAGCGTTAGTATCTTTTCTGTGCAACTAGGAAAGGTCTTGACTCTTTTCCTTAAGGGCAGTCTGGTTTTTTATTGTTTTCTGGAAGTCAGGAGTTGGAGTGGAGGGACATGTTCCTACTTCCCTTTACTAAGTCCCAAACTGTTCCACCTCTACTTACCCTAGACCTGAAGATTCAAGGGGAGACCCATGACAGTATTGAGGATGCTCGCACAGCCCTTCAGCTCTACCGAAAGTATCTGGAGCTAAGCAAGAATGGCACTGAGCCTGAGTCTTTCCACAAGGTGCTCAAGGGTCTTTACGAGAAGGGCCGAAAGATGGACTGGAAGGTGCCTGAGCCTGAGGGCCAGACAAGTCCCAAGAGTAAGATCTGGGATGGGACAAGAGAAACTGGACTGGGTGAATTTTGATTGCATATATGGAGATTATACCCATCACAATAATAATGATGATGATGATAACAGTGCCTGCCCTGCCCTATATTTGTAAAGCACTTAACAGTTTACAAAGCACTCAATCCTCTTAACATTTATTGAAATCCGTTTTATTACTGAAACTCTCCGTTGGTCCTATAATTTCCTCTTGCCCGTTCTAAAATGCTTAGGGGAGGTCCAAGCCCTCTTGTCTCTTGCATTTTTCCTTGATGACTATGAGAGGGTGCTTTTTCTCCACTTGCAGTAAGAGTCATGCTCTTGGTTTTGTCTCTGACAGATGCAGCTGTCTTCTCCTCAGTGCTGGCGCTCTGACCTCCCCTCTCCCAAAGAACCACCGCCCTCTCCCTTAGTGTTCTGTGGCCCCAGAACTGGGAGGTGGCGTCCCAAGTTAGCTATTCCCTGTCCACTTCCAGAATTGGACCTGCTCAGGGTCTACAGATGGTGCTATTTATAACCGGAATGCAACAGCATTGTTACAAAGGTTCTAGAAGCCAGATTCCTTCTTCATCCTTTGCAAAATAGTGAGTCACAAACAGAATCTCAAATTGACCCAGATGGAAAGGAATTGGTATTCATAATAAATATCCTGGGTGATTAATATCCAAGCATAGAAGCTCCTGGAACCAAAACTCTTAGTTCCTAGCTGACTGGGGATTGCAGTCCTGGTCAGTGACAGAGGATACAATGGTAGCTCAAGACTTAGCTCAAACTACCAACTGCTTGAGGGATGCCTGGAGGGTCCAGTACTTAGGGTCGTGGTGGCCCACACAAACCAATGTTGCCAATCCCGTTGCCAAAAGGGCCTTTGGATCCTGGACAAAGCTTAGCTGCTGGCTTCCTTTATTCCTGCTGACAGCTGAGAAGCATCTGTCTTCCATCCACTCTCCTGTCCCATGTTTTGTTTTTTAAAATTTTGTTTTAAACCGCATGTTTTATAAAATAAAAGCAAAAATGTTTTCTATAATCCGTCTTGTTAGAGAGCTAGCGTGTGTCCTCTGACTTCAGTCCTCTCCTCTGTTTTGGCTTCCTGTTGTGACTGGAAAAACTAAGATTGTGTTCAAATCCCCACCTGAAAATGAAGGCAAAGCTCTGGAATCCAAAGCTACGGGACATGGGAGGACTATATGCCTTTCCTGGACAGTGTTAGATCTTTGCTGTAGCTGCCTCATAGCCTGAGTCAGAGATAGGAAGGTGATAGGATGGATTCCCGTTAACTGTAAGCTGACAAACTACAACTCCCAGGGTATCTTGAGACCTGGAGCTGTGGCCAGGGCAGGCCTGGCGCTGCGGTGCTTCCTGGGAGACGTAGTTTCCCGTGTCCGGGAACCTGGGCTGCTCACGGCCGCGGCGCACCGTTCGGGAGGTCCTGGCCCACCTAGGCCGATGCGCGCGCGCGCGCCGGGCCGCTCCCTGCAGCACGCCGGCTCCGTCCTCGCTTCAGACCACTCCTATTCTTTGGCTGACCCCTGGTGGCCACGTGGAGCTGTTCGCCACGCAAGTCTGGGTCCTTCGGCGGGCGACCGGGGTCCTTGCTGCCTCGGAGCCGCTCCTGGGCTGCCTGCTCGCGCGAGAGTTTGGAGGGGCGGGTCGGGGTCGGCGCGCGGTGGGGGCTCGCACGGCCGTGCACCCGATCCCCGCTTCGGCGTCACTTGGGGTCCGGCAGCCGGGTCGGGGCGGTCGCCGGGCACCGGTGTCTGGAAGGCAGCGAAGTGCTCCGGATAAGCCCGGACAGCCCTCAGCCAGGTGCAGTTTCGGGCCACCGGGGCCAAAGTGAGCGTCCGGCGGTATTGCAGCGCCCGGGCCACGGCGGCGGCCCCGGGAGCAGAGGTGGGACGCGGGCGGCCGCGCCCGGGGCTGGGGTGGACAGAGCGAAGCAGTGGCGGAGTTTTGGAAGGGGGCTGTCGGCTCGAGCATTCACTTGTAGGCTAGAGGTGGGGGGTGCAGGGTACACACAGGCCCCGTGGCGCATGTCCTCCTCGCTGGGGCTCCCCAGTGCTCGTCGTCCTCGCGTCTACGCCAGCGTCCTTTCTGTGGCGGCCACACAGCCCTGTGGGCCGTGGGTATCTCGTGCCGCAAGACCAGCACCTGGGGCCTCACCTGTCGACGTAGTGTCTGGGCCTGAGGCCCGAGGCCTGGGATCGCGCTCCACACACCGCCCGGGGAGTCGCAGCCATCTAGCGCCGGGACAGAGCCCCTTTGTGTCCCGGCCATTCCCTGGGAGGTAGAGCCAGAGCCACACTGAGGCCTTTGAAAGTCCTGCGGGGAGGGTGGGGGGACGGGTAAGCGGGGGAAAGATGGAGTCGTCTTCTCACACCTATGTTTTATTCCCACCCAAATCCAGGTGGAGCTACCCCATCATGCTCAAGAAGAAAGGCTGGGGTTGGCTGGCCCTGCTTCTGGGGGCCCTGCTGGGAACTGCCTGGGCTCGGAGGAGCCAGGATCTACACTGTGGAGGTAGAGGCACAAAGAGAAGAAGTGGGAGGACGCAGCCTGGGGAGGGCGTGAGATCCAAGGCCTGGGAGAAGGATGAATGGGAATCCCTGGGTTGAGCCCATTCACCTCCCACCCTATTCCTTGCCCCCGTTCTCTCCCCTTCCACCAGCTTGCAGGGCTCTGGTGGACGAACTAGAATGGGAAATTGCCCAGGTGGATCCCAAGAAGACCATTCAGATGGGATCTTTCCGGATCAATCCTGATGGCAGCCAGTCAGTGGTGGAGGTAACTGTTACTGTTCCCCCAAATAGAGTAATTCACTCTGACTTTGAATGCGAACTCAACTAAATAAAGACCTTGGTTTAGTAGAAATGAAGAATCAGACCCTAAGACCTATCTAAAAGACTGAGCTCTGTCTCATTTGAAAGAGACTAGAGGCTTATGCTCTCTGCCTTTGCTTCCTGGCTTCAGATCTTAATACTGTGGTTGTTTCTTCTTCTGTAGAATGTGTTAGCAGACAGGGAGTCTTGATCAGCCCATCCCTATGTATAACTCATGTTTTTACTGTAGCCCTGTGGTATACAAAGAAACATTCTTTCAAAAAAGAATAAAAGGTCTTATCCTCAGTGGTGGGGCGTGGTGACTCAAGCCTATAATCCCAGTACGCTGGGAGGCCTAGGTGAGAGGATTGCCTGAGTCCAGGGGTTCCAGGCCAGCCTGGGCAATTTGGTGAGACCTTGTCTTCTCTACAATTTAAAAAAAAAATTAGCTGGGCGTGGTGGCAAGTGCCTGTAGTTCCAGCTACTTGGAAGGCTGAGGTGGAAGGATCACCTGAGCTCAGCAGGTCAAGACTGTGGTGGCCATGAGCATGCCACTGCGCTCTAGCAAGGGTGACAGAGTGAGAGTCCAACTCAAAAAAAAAAAGTCTTATTCTCATAATCTGGAAACTTATTTTAAAATATTAGGACATATATTTGAAAATATAACACACGTATATAAAGCTGTACTTAGTGTGCAGTATATAAAGAAACATTAAGGTTATGGTGCTGTCAAGTACTTTAATAGTTATCCTCAGAGCCTACACTCTCTCTCTGATGCTGTTCTTAGTGAGCGCAGGTATGACTCATTTTAATACAAAAAAGTGTTACCCTCATTGGTAAGAATTAAGGAAATTCAAAGGCAAAGAATATAGGCTGGACACAGCAGCTCATGCCTATAATCCCAGCACTTTGGGAGGCCAAGGCAGGAGGATTGCTTGAGGTCAGGAGTTTAAGACCAACCTAGACAACACTGTGAGACCTTGTCTCTACAAAAAAAAAAAACTCCCCCTTCTTACTACTACACTTGACTAGTCTTTTTTTTTTTTTTTGGAGTTGGAGTCTCACTCTATTGTCCAGACTGGAGTGCAGTGGCCGCTGTTGGCCACCGCAGCCTCGACCTGCTGGGCTCCGGTGATCCTTACGCCTCAGCCTTCCAAGTAGCTGGAACTGCAGGCGCGTGCTACCATGCCCGGATAATTTTTTTAATTTATTGTAGAGATGAGGTCTCGCCAAGTTGCCCAGGCTGGTCTCGAACCCTTAGCTCAGGCAATTCTCTCACCTTGGCCTCCCAAGTGCTGGGATTAAAGGCGTGACCCATCATCAATCACCTGTCTTATTTCTTAGGACTGTATAATGAGGTAAAAGAAGATCATATATCTGAGAGTACTTTGAAAGTATACAAATAAACCATACTGTCTTTAATTAGGAAAGGCTTTTGGGGATAGGTTTATTGAGCTAGATTTGGAAGAAAAAGTAAGGATGTAAATCACTAATGTACAGAGGTAGAAGAGAGTGACCCAAGGTTGAGGACATTTCTAGGTGCCTTATGCCCGCTCAGAGGCCCACCTCACAGAGCTGCTAGAGGAGATATGTGACCGGATGAAGGAGTATGGGGAACAGATTGACCCTTCTACCCACCGCAAGAACTACGTTCGTGTAGTGGGCCGGGATGGAGAATCCAACAAATTGGACCTGCAAGGCATCCGGATTGATTCAGATATCAGCGGCACCCTCAAGTTTGCGGTGAGCTATTGGATTGGGTAGATGGTTCTCGGAAATTAAGGGAGTTGTTGGAGGACCCAAGTACAGAGTTGGGTCGGTATCCTTGTCCTCCTCTTTGGAGGTGGAGGTAGGAGGCCTCTTGTTTCCCTGAGTCACTTTTTTCTCCATTGGGTTGGCAGTGTGAGAGCATTGTGGAGGAATACGAAGATGAACTCATTGAATTCTTTTCCCGAGAGGCTGACAATGTAAAAGATAAACTTTGTAGTAAGCGAACAGGTAAGCTCTCCCCACTGAATCTCCTGTTCCGTTCTCATAGCCCTGTAGAACCCAGCATATTCTGTATCCCACCCATCCCCACCCCCACCCCGGAAATCCTGATATTAGCTCAAGAGCTGGCTTCCATTTCCCTTGGCTTAGGGACTTCGGTTGTTCCTCTCCATTCTCTTTCTGTTAGCTTTCAGAATTTGTGGCCCCCTGACCTGAGATTACAGGTGAGAGGGCAGTAGGGATGTGTTATCATTTATAAGCATATGTTCTGAAGAATGGTGGCTGGTGTGTGCGTTAGTTTGGTTTGGGGAATGTTCTAGATAGTGGCGTATATCAGTATGAGAGTAGCATTTTCCTTTAAATTGTTCTGTGCTATTTGCAGATCTATGTGACCATGCCCTGCACATATCTCACGATGAGCTATGAACCCCTGGAGCAGCCCAGACTGGCTTGATGGATCACCCCCAGGAGGGGAAGATGGTGGCAATGCCTTTTATATTATGTTTTTACTGAAATGAACTGAAAAAATAAGAAACCAAAAATACAAACTGTGTTGTCTTTTCATGCCTGCAATCAGCTCTTACAGTAAGTTTGAAGATAGGGGATTACAGACAGGAAAGAAAACAGAAGGGAAAAAAGTTTTGGGATTGGTGTGGGACAAAGATAGGAGGAGCCTGAACCTTTTATTCTTTTACCTTCTAAGATTCTGCCTACTCATAAACTAGAAAAGCATTTATTCAGTGCCTACTCAATACCATGTGTTTACAATCTCATTATGCAGGAGAATAACCTCTATGAATAAACTCGGAAACATGAGTGTAAGGTAGCATAGGACTCTCAAAATTCCTTATATTCTTGTTGATGAAACTGGGCTTGGTCTCGAAGGAAATAATGGACATGCGTTATTCTTCCCTCCCTGCCCTTCCAGATGGAGGGACCAGCAAGAGCAGAGACAGGAAGGGGAAAATGGATGTGACCAACTCAGCTGAGAAGTAAGGGCTTTATTGGATAGGGACAGATGAGGTAAGGAATGTTATTTATGAAAGGCATTCTTGCTAGCCTAAACTTTTAGATTTGATGCCAGCAGCAACAATAAAGTATATCTTTCCTGTCTCTGTCACTAACCATTGTCAATCTGGACCATAAGTCTGTCCCCGCTTTATGTGTGTAGAGATTTTATACTGGGGCAAGGGATGAAAACCTAAAGGATGCCTTATTTTGGAAAATTCTTAAACACCCTAAGGTATTGCTGTCTCGGGGTTTGGAATGGAACGTCTCTGTCCCAGGATTGCCTTGAGTACATTTGAATAAACATTTCAAATATTTAAAAAATGATAGCATTTTTTTTTCTTCAATTGGAGTCTCTGTTGCCCAGACTGGAGGGCAGTGGCACGCTCCCAGCCACCGCAGCCTCGACCTGCTGGGCTCCGGTGATCCTTCCGCCTCAGCCTTCCAAGTAGCTGGAACTACAGGCACGCGCTACCACACCCAGCTAATTTTTGATTTATTGTAGGGATGAGGTCTCGCCAAGTTGCCCAGGCGCGTCTCGAACCCGCAGGCTCAGGCAATCCACTCACCTCAGCCTCCCCAAGTGAGGGATTACAGGCTGAGCCACCGAGCCCGGCTAAATGATAGCATTTTAGAATCTAAAGGAACTTTGGAGGTCATCTAGTTCACCTCTGCCCGTTTTTTGTTTTTGTTTTTTTCTTTTTTTTGAGTTGGAGTCTCTGCTGCCCAGGCTGGAGTATAGTGGCATGCTCACGGTCACCCCAGTCGACCTGCTGGGCTCAGGCGATCCTTCTGCCTCTGCCTTCCAAGTAGCGAGAACTTCAGGTACATGCTACCACACTGGACTAATGATTTTGATTTATTGTAGAGATGAGGTCTCATCAAGTAGCCCAGGCTGGAGTACACTGGCATGCTCACAGCCATTGCAGCCTTGGCCTGCTGGGCTCAAGTGATCCTTCCATCTCGGCCTTCCAAGTAGCTGGAACCACAGGCGTGTGCCACCATGCCCCGCTAATTTTTTTTTTTTTTTGTAGAGATGATGTTACCTGTGACTCAGGCAACCTCTTGTCTCTGCCTCGCAAAGTGCTGGGATTACAGGTGTGAGCCACTGTACCCCGTACCTCTACCTATCTTACAGATAAGAAAACTGAGGCCCAGAGAAACACAGAACTTGATGTTCTGTATTTAGTGGCAAAACTGACTCTATAAGCTAACTTTCCCAAGTGCCAATGTAATCTAATATAGCTGTAGAGTAGCTTTTGTCTTAAGTCTTTTTTCTCTTAATAAGACCTTCCACTAAGCTTGGCACATTTGATAAATGTACTCATCAGAGCTTTCTTGTACCACAAATCCCTGTGAAATCTTAACATATTAACTAGCTTAGAGCAAGCACTCTGATGTTAGCTGTCAACTAAACTGATCCTGGTGTTAATTTCATCTTCTTCCATCAGCCATAAGAAGTGCTGTGTCCTGCCAAGAGCAGTGGCTCACATCTGTAATCCCAGCACTTTTTGGGAGGTGGAGACGAGAGGACTGCCTGAATCCAGGGGTTCGAGACCAACCTGGGCAACTTGGCGAGACCTCATCTCTTCAGTAAATTAAGAAAAATTAAGCCGGGCTCAGTGGCTCAGCCTGTAATCCCACGCCTTTGGGAGGCTGAGGAAAGTGGATTGCCTGAGCCCGTGGGTCCGACACCTGCCTGGGCAGGCGAAACCTCATCTCTACAATAAATCAAAAAATTAGCCGGGCGTGGTAGCACGCGCCTGTAATTCCGGCTACTTGGAAGGCTGAGGCGGAAGGATCGCTGGATCCCAGCAGGTC